GGATATTTCCCATCAGTTTCTGGTCATTTCGGTGACGCATCATTAACGAGTTGGATATTTCCCATCAGTTTCTGGTCATTTCGGTGACGCATCATTAACGAGTTCGATATTTCCCATCAGTTTCTGGTCATTTCGGTGACGCATCATTAACGAGTTCGATATTTCCCATCAGTTTCTGGTCATTTCGGTGACGCATCATTAACGAGTTGGATATTTCCCATCAGTTTCTGGTCATTTCGGTGACGCATCATTAACGAGTTCGATATTTCCCATCAGTTTCTGGTCATTTCGGTGACGCATCATTAACGAGTTGGATATTTCCCATCAGTTTCTGGTCATTTCGGTGACGCATCATTAACGAGTTGGATATTTCCCATCAGTTTCTGGTCATTTCGGTGACGCATCATTAACGAGTTCGATATTTCCCATCAGTTTCTGGTCATTTCGGTGACGCATCATTAACGAGTTCGATATTTCCCATCAGTTTCTGGTCATCTCGGTGACGCATCATTAACGACTTCGATATTTCCCATCAGTTTCTGGTCATTTCGGTGACGCATCATTAACGAGTTCGATATTTCCCATCAGTTTCTGGTCATTTCGGTGACGCATCATTAACGAGTTCGATATTTCCCATCAGTTTCTGGTCATTTCGGTGACGCATCATTAACGAGTTCGATATTTCCCATCAGTTTCTGGTCATCTCGGTGATGCATCATTAACGAGTTGGATATTTCCCATCAGTTTCTGGTCATTTCGGTGACGCATCATTAACGAGTTCGATATTTCCCATCAGTTTCTGGTCATTTCGGTGACGCATCATTAACGAGTTCGATATTTCCCATCAGTTTCTGGTCATCTCGGTGACGCATCATTAACGACTTCGATATTTCCCATCAGTTTCTGGTCATTTCGGTGACGCATCATTAACGAGTTCGATATTTCCCATCAGTTTCTGGTCATTTCGGTGACGCATCATTAACGAGTTCGATATTTCCCATCAGTTTCTGGTCATTTCGGTGACGCATCATTAACGAGTTCGATATTTCCCATCAGTTTCTGGTCATCTCGGTGACGCATCATTAACGAGTTGGATATTTCCCATCAGTTTCTGGTCATTTCGGTGACGCATCATTAACGAGTTGGATATTTCCCATCAGTTTCTGGTCATTTCGGTGACGCATCATTAACGAGTTGGATATTTCCCATCAGTTTCTGGTCATTTCGGTGACGCATCATTAACGAGTTCGATATTTCCCATCAGTTTCTGGTCATTTCGGTGACGCATCATTAACGAGTTCGATATTTCCCATCAGTTTCTGGTCATTTCGGTGACGCATCATTAACGAGTTGGATATTTCCCATCAGTTTCTGGTCATTTCGGTGACGCATCATTAACGAGTTCGATATTTCCCATCAGTTTCTGGTCATTTCGGTGACGCATCATTAACGAATTCGATATTTCCCATCAGTTTCTGGTCATTTCGGTGACGCATCATTAACGAGTTCGATATTTCCCATCAGTTTCTGGTCATTTCGGTGACGCATCATTAACGAGTTCGATATTTCCCATCAGTTTCTGGTCATTTCGGTGACGCATCATTAACGAGTTGGATATTTCCCATCAGTTTCTGGTCATTTCGGTGACGCATCATTAACGAGTTCGATATTTCCCATCAGTTTCTGGTCATTTCGGTGACGCATCATTAACGAGTTCGATATTTCCCATCAGTTTCTGGTCATCTCGGTGACGCATCATTAACGACTTCGATATTTCCCATCAGTTTCTGGTCATTTCGGTGACGCATCATTAACGAGTTCGATATTTCCCATCAGTTTCTGGTCATCTCGGTGACGCATCATTAACGAGTTGGATATTTCCCATCAGTTTCTGGTCATTTCGGTGACGCATCATTAACGAGTTCGATATTTCCCATCAGTTTCTGGTCATTTCGGTGACGCATCATTAACGAGTTCGATATTTCCCATCAGTTTCTGGTCATTTCGGTGACGCATCATTAACGAGTTCGATATTTCCCATCAGTTTCTGGTCATTTCGGTGACGCATCATTAACGAGTTCGATATTTCCCATCAGTTTCTGGTCATTTCGGTGACGCATCATTAACGAGTTGGATATTTATCGAGTCATTTTGACGCATCATTATCGAGTTCGATATTTCCCATCAGTTTCTGGTCATTTCGGTGACGCATCATTAACGAGTTCGATATTTCCCATCAGTTTCTGGTCATTTCGGTGACGCATCATTAACGAGTTCGATATTTCCCATCAGTTTATAGTCATTTTGGTGACGCATCATTAACGAGTTGGATATTTCCCATCAGTTTCTGGTCATTTCGGTGACGCATCATTAACGAGTTCGATATTTCCCATCAGTTTCTGGTCATTTCGGTGACGCATCATTAACGAGTTCGATATTTCCCATCAGTTTCTGGTCATTTCGGTGACGCATCATTAACGAGTTCGATATTTCCCATCAGTTTCTGGTCATTTCGGTGACGCATCATTAACGAGTTCGATATTTCCCATCAGTTTCTGGTCATTTCGGTGACGCATCATTAACGAGTTGGATATTTCCCATCAGTTTCTGGTCATTTCGGTGACGCATCATTAACGAGTTCGATATTTCCCATCAGTTTCTGGTCATTTCGGTGACGCATCATTAACGAGTTCGATATTTCCCATCAGTTTCTGGTCATTTCGGTGACGCATCATTAACGAGTTGGATATTTCCCATCAGTTTCTGGTCATTTCGGTGACGCATCATTAACGAGTTCGATATTTCCCATCAGTTTCTGGTCATTTCGGTGACGCATCATTACCGAGTTCGATATTTCCCATCAGTTTCTGGTCATTTCGGTGACGCATCATTAACGAGTTCGATATTTCCCATCAGTTTCTGGTCATTTCGGTGACGCATCATTAACGAGTTCGATATTTCCCATCAGTTTCTGGTCATTTCGGTGACGCATCATTAACGAGTTGGATATTTCCCATCAGTTTATAGTCATTTCGGTGACGCATCATTAACGAGTTCGATATTTCCCATCAGTTTCTGGTCATTTCGGTGACGCATCATTAACGAATTCGATATTTCCCATCAGTTTCTGGTCATTTCGGTGACGCATCATTCACGAGTTCGATATTTCCCATCAGTTTCGGGTCATTTCGGTGACGCATCATTAACGAGTTCGATATTTCCCATCAGTTCATAGTCATTTTGGTGACGCATCATTAACGAGTTGGATATTTCCCATCAGTTTCTGGTCATTTCGGTGACGCATCATTAACGAGTTCGATATTTCCCATCAGTTTCTGGTCATTTCGGTGACGCATCATTAACGAGTTGGATATTTCCCATCAGTTTCTGGTCATTTCGGTGACGCCTTTTATTGCTATCATATGATACAAGCAAATCAAGCGTTTGAAAAACGTTTCTTCTCAGCGTCGCTTAGGAATGGCGTATTTTAGGTTATCTGACCTGTTGAGTCTGGATGAGCTATTACTAGCACGTGTTTCTGTAAATGATAGAAAGTTTTCTTTCTTCATTTGTTGTACCAATCCTGATAAAAAAAAATCGGTTTATTGGGTATTTTGATATTGTTATTGAATCAAATAGGTATTTTAAATATGAATCCTAATTTTCTATATCACTGAGGTTAACAACCACTAATAAAATAAACACAGTTTTTGATTTGTTTCTACACTGACTGACATCGTCAGTTTCACAATAAACTAATAGATTCACATCAACATTGGACTGTATTATAGTTTTGGATTTTCTATTTGCCGTAAATAATCGTTGAACCCATGCTAACTTCACTGGATTCATATATGAGATTATCACATTTGGTTCACCGTACATGTAATCATTGGACGTCTCTTATCCATCTTTCTACTCTTGAGAAAATTAGATACTTCTGTCTTTAGGCATTTTAATTAGGAAGTGAAATGGATGGGTGGTTTAGTTGTGAGATTATCATTGTTTTAATTTACCAATAGGTGTAAGGTTTCTCCTAGTCCGGGTTTTCATTTGTGCCTTATTTTTACCTTTTTCTGTTCTTTTTTTTTTTTTTTTATCATAGTTTAATTTTTGTTATTTTATGCAAATCAACATCAGAAACAATACCTTATACTGTAAATCTTGTGTATCCCGAGCGAAGGTGAGGAAAAAAATGATACTTTGCTATATTTTGCCACACATCCAGATGACTTGGGTTTTAAATGCGTTAATCTTCATACAAGAAATTTTAGCCAAAAAAGAAAGTAATTCATTCTGTAGCTCCTCTTTATGATCTTTTTCATCCTTCTAAAATTATTGGTGTATCGTCCGCATACTGTGATAATATAATAGGTTATTTGTTAATTGATGTATCGCCAATGTTTTTCTTGTTTCTCATTGCTAATATTTCTGCACATAGTATGAAAAGTTAATTGGTCATTGCATCTCCTTGCAGACAACCTCTTTTTAATTGGAAACCCCTAGGGTAGATTGTCATCTTGTTTTACAGTTGAATTTGAATTCTTATAAAGTATTTGGATCCACTGTTGAATGCTTCTGTCAAAGTTAAAGAAATGTAAAACCTCATCTACAAAACCCCAATATACCGTGGCTGAATGCTTTTTCGAAATTTTTGATCAGTAACAAACCTGGTATGTCTTTTTCTTTTTAATATCGCATAAAATCGTATATAAGTCTGGCGGTTTTCCCCGATATATCTTCATATTATAAAACCTGTTCGATCAGTATTAATAAGATTATTCAGTTAAGCCGTTTGTTTATCCCGTACCCGTTATAACCCCGATACAATTTTGTTTATATGCTGCCAGTTTTTAAGAAATTACTCGCGTTTGTCTGCCTTTGTTTAACATATAGTTATGGCTTGCTTTTGAGTTACTGAGTTACTTGACTAAGCCTTGGTTGGCAACCAAATCGGCCTCTCATCGTTGCGCACGTCTGGAATCCGGATTCTAATCCGCCCTCGTCTCGAAATGTATTCAATATCCGCTCAAACTAATATGGCAGACACTTTCATTGCTAGAGGTGAGGAGAACTGTATTTTGCTTTAAAATTACGATTGTGAATCGTACACAGGCATATAATGCACAACAACAACTTAAATATCATCATCGCATAAAACTGCGTCATCCAGAAACGTTTTCTATTGACAAAGATATCCCAGACTGATTTGTTAATTCCCAGCCTTGTAGCGACTCTCGCAAACTTAATGCTTGCGCCAGGATTGCTGATATTGAAAGAAAATAGAATGAAACCATGCATATTGAAATAGTTTATCTTCCCTTAATTAACTGTTGGTATATAATTCTTAACCATCTATCATTTAATTTTCATCATGAAAGAACAACTGCTCAGTGCTGGAACGTACTCGATGTAATAAAAATGTCTGGGTCAAATAATATACATAATCGTTACAACATGTACATTTTTTTCTGTGTATATTTTGTCCTAAATAAGACGCACTTCGATTGACTATCATTGGTACTGAATATCTTGCTCACTTACAATTAGCTAGAATTGCTGTGATGATTCTGTTCTTGTTTAGCTAGCTTTCACTTATTTTTCATCCTAAAAATGTTTTTACTTAAAAAATGAAAGTCAGTATTTACCCATAATTGATTCAATAATATTACAAATTCTATGTACTTTTAAGCATTAGAAATACAATACTTAAAATGCATAGACAGAAAATGGTTGCACCATAATACATTTTTGTATGTAAAGGGAAATAACTTTCAGTCAATGCAGAGTTATGAACAATATTTAATAAAAAGCAAAATGCTTATCACAGAACAAACAAAGGCATGTTGATAGGATTAGCATGTTAATTTAAATTGTCCATCTTTGGTACTTATGAAATTTGATTCATTAATGAAAAATATCACTCATCTCGGTCTATAGTTATACTTTGTATGCGTACCCATTATAACTTGTGATCTATCGTTTCTTCAGGCTCATTTTTTTCGAATCTTACAGCATAAATGTACATTTTAAGTACTTTTGTATATTATTATTATTTAAAACTGAACTTTTATAATTAAATTCCACATTGTTTAAGTAATATTATTAATATCTGCTTCTCTTATATTTCCCAGTATTTTTATTATTTTTTTTTTTTTTTAAATTGCAGACAATGAAAGCAAAGCCAGATACTCGCCAAACAATACCAACAGACCTGTACTCAACACAAGTCCACTCAAGAGGAAAGCTGCAAATGAGGATGAAGGCGAACCGACGGAAAAGAAAAAATTTGCGATGAATTTTAACATAAAAAAACCTATGGATAATGTGCAATTTGGTAGTAGTCCAAAACAGAGTGTTCTGCCTATAAAAATGTCTCTGTCATCCCAGGTAGGTTGGCAAGCAATTTTTGAGCTCGATTACAAGGTAGCCTCTGCTCATTTGAGTAGCATGCCAGAATGAAGACCAATTATGTTTTGCTCAGTTGAATAATCTTCACCTGCTTTCAAAAAGATAGCCTGAAACTTTAAAAAAGCAAAAACCAACCCACTGATCATGAGTAAGCAACATGAAATACATGATATTTTTGGCCAGTAGCATGCTGGAATTTACTTAGAAGTTTGTTCAACTTCAATTGAATGACCATGACCATTTACTATCAAGGGGACAGGGATAAACATACCATATTATCAACTTTGTTCAATTGTATGGCCTTGACCCTTATCAATGCAAGGTTTTACAAATTTCAATTTGTCAAATTCTCTTCATGAGTGATCATGACCTGTTGGCAAGAGTAGTGATAATTATGACACCTGATTTCCACAAGAAAACTTGTATTTACATTATAAATACACTAGTATATATACATACCACTATAAATGATGTGTTTTTTCCTGCTTCAGAAACCAAAGGAAACATCAGCTACGGTCAAACCAAAAACAGCAGCAGTTGCTAAAGCGTTTGCAGAAGATGTAAGTCCTGTGTCTAAAAAACCTGTATCTGTGTTACACAATGCATAATTTTTTCCCCATGATTCAGTATCTCTCTTTAGTCATTGTTGTCTCTATATTTTCTGTAATTTAGTCAAAGTATCTTTCCAGATGTTCATTATATGTAAGTCTTTCCATGTTTGAGGTATATGTATTTTTCATATGATTGTGACCTTAACCAGTACTTAATGATGGTAAAGGAAACAAAATAAGGTTATCGACAGTCTTCACATGATTATTTCTGGAATAAAGGCCAGTAATAGGCTCATATCAAATTATAAGCCTGCCCATAGTCAAAATACAACAATTTTTTATTGTCATGTTAATGCATAGTACACCTTCACATGGTAGGTAGTAACAGGTACCATCAATGAGATACTGTATTATGTGAGATGGAAATAATTTAGAGTACATTGCTTTGTCTCCAGAGTGATGAAGAAGAGATGCCACCTGAAGCAAAGATGAGGATGAGAAACATTGGAAGGTAAGTTTATGTTATCAAAATTGATTTTACAGATATTCCTGTATGATCCTTGTTGCAGATCTTTGTTATATGAGCATGAAGTTGTGTTTTCATCAGTCTCATTTAGACTTTAATAATTCTGGATGTAACTTGTCATCCAAATATTACTACAAAGATGTGTACATTGTTCATCATGGGATGGGTAAATATTGTTCCACTCCACAGACATATCTTTAATTGCTCCTTTTATATAAATTAGCACCAATGGATCCACGGTGGCTTAGTGATTAAGGCATCAGACCAACTATATCTGTAGCCCCCTCCCCACCCACATCAGGATCGCAGGTGGGACCTTCATGAAGCAGTCAACAGATAATGACATCATGTTGGTGTTGTTTTCAGTTAAATTATTCTGTAAAACTGAATATTTGATGTTGCAAAATTTTTAATGACCCTGTAAATGAATTCATTCAAAACATCTTCTTTTTGGAATATAAATGTGATATGAATCATCTGATCATGCTACCAAATTGATTAAAACTACAATGAAAGGTTGCAATGTAAAAAATTATTCATCTGGTATGCCATAAATTGAATCTATTTCTGTAACTGTTTTTCTTTCAAATATATTATTTCTTTAATTGGTTTTAGGTTTTCTTTCTTTAATTATGTTTTGGTATTTTGTGTTTAGTTTATTCATGTGCTTTGTATTACAGGGACACACCTACAGCTGCTGGACCTAATTCCTTTGGAAAGGGTCGTCTCGGATTCTGTGATAGACAGAAGATGGTAGAGAAGGAGATTATCAAACATATAGAGGAAGTTGGAGAGGACTGAAAATTTTCCTCTTTTAGAATTTTTGCAGTTTTTGCCAATCCAAGTAGAGACTCTTTTACTTTTGCAATGCAATCATGCACTACATTCAATATCATAGAGGTGTGAGTGAATCTGAGGCATACCATGACATGGCACTTCAGAAAGGCTGTTGAATTTCACACAAAGACTGGACCAATGGATACCTATAGGAGTTTTAAATCATTCCATATGTGAGTTAAATCCTTCGTTAAGGTTGAATATTCATCTACAGCAATAGCTCCCGAAAGTACATGGTTTTGCTATTGCTCATAAATCTTATGAAACTAAGGTGATGAAGAATTTCCCTTATTTTTCCCAACTGAATATTTAAAAGTTATAGTACTGTACTGTAAAACAGTTATTTATCTGAGAAGGGGATACACCAGTGACTGGATTAAAGTGTAAAATCTTGTTGGTGAAAGTTTTAGGACTTGCTATGGTTAAGCTGCTGAATAAAATGTTGTATATGTCAAAGTGCAGTATAGAGATCTGCCTCACTACAGAAGAGCTTGACAGAGTTACTCTAATATATTTATGAAATACAGTGTTATGAATTTTCATCGTTCAAAGATGAAAAAAAAGTCTGAATGAAATGCTCAACAATTGAATGTCTTGACAGGAAATTTTAATCTGAATATTGATTTACGTGGTTATCAAATTAAAATCTGATTCTTCGGTGTTTTTAGTTTGTACAATTTTACTTTAGTGGAAGGTACATCTGCTCTATACGTCACTTATAACTTGTTGTCTTTTATTTTCTTCCCTTCTTAGTTTTTTTTGTCAATGCTATTAACTAAGATAGTGGAATATGTTTTTTATAAAAGGGCAACATGCTTTGCCTTCTATCACTCTAGGATAATTTTCCTCTTGCTTTCAACTTTGCCTTCCTACTGAAAATATATATCCAGATAGATATGTTATCTACCTACTAAAGAGCTGTTTCCAAACCAGCTCTGTAATGATTACTCTATAAATTGATTCAGTGTTGTTTTCCCAATAGATGTGCGACTTTTGTCAAAACTACAAGAATACAAACCTAACCAGTGATCCATGATTTAATTCTGTCCATTTTTACATGCTGATTGAACCAAATTGTAATTATGTTTCCCAGTTCAATTCCTCTCACTTGGTAATCCTGATCAAAGTATGAATGATACAGCACTTGGCAATCTATTATGATCTATCGCTTACTGTATAACTTGATAACTCAACAAAATCATAGATATCTGGATCATAAAGGGAAAAACCAGTATTGTGAATGAAACACAATATCTTTTAATTCTAAATTCCTCTTTAAACTGGAGTATGTTGATCATCAGAACAAAAGTACTGTATCTGTATCACACAAGGTATAGCATGTACCTCATATTGTACATTTTGTAATAGGGATGTGGTGCAAGTAATGGCTTGGGGTATTAAGGTTATTGTTCTTAATACTGGTCAGAAAACAAGGTTGTGTAGAATTGATATCATTAGTTCAGTTAATTTTCTGTATTGTTATAACTGGTATATTTACTGCCATTTAAAGTACAGGAATGGGCACCCAATTTGATTGATGTCAGAAATCACAGTGACATCATGTTTTATGATGATATAATACATCAATTACCCTGAAATGTCTTGTTAACGTACAATGTATATTCTTCATAAATACTTTCAGGGATATACAATATAGAGGGAAACTATGCCCATTGGTAACTTCTCTGGCATTAGCTTTCGTGTTGTGCACTGGGCCATGAAATCCTCTCTTCACTAGTTTGTTATCTAAATTTATCTACCAATACACCATTTTTTTCTATGCTGATAGGCCTCACCACAGTCATTGTTTGGCCAGTGAGAAGTGAATTCCATTTTTGTAACAAAAATAACAGAAATTGACTAAAGTGACTTATCACAAAAGTGACACATGTCAGTTGGAAAAACTTAGATTTTAGATGTTATCTATTTGAAAATTATTTGCTTCATAATTTTGACTGAAAGTGATACACAATATAGCGTGATATTTCAGTTGTAGATAGCCTAAACATGCATTTTGTTTTATGAATATCAAAAGTTGAAAGAATTTCTTTGTCACAAAAGCTAACACAATCAATTTCAAAATAATACAGGTTTCTACTGCTGTTTATTTTGAAAAGAATAGTTACCCGGTACATACTTTTTCAGATAAATGATTTGTAAACACAGCAAGACTACAGCTAGTTCACACAAGCTTCTTCCCTAAAGCGTTGCAAAGAGATACAGGCATTTTTTATCCCTCTGTATTATATGTCCCTTTCATTTTGTCAAGAAAAAAGTACATGTATTACTCCACAAGTATTTTAACTACAAAATGTGTGTTACAAATCGGCAACAGCCTTAATGAAGGGAGATAATCTATCACAAAAAAAAACAGTCTGTAGCTTCAGAGGAAATAAACCATTTTATGATAAAATTGGTACAAAAAAAGCAAATCTGGAGGCTTTCCTGGTAGTTTTAACATGACGAATGAAAGTATTCTTATAATTTATTTGGTGAATACCAAAAAATTTAAGAAAAGTTTTTTTCTGCTTTAGAGGAAGAGATGGTTTTTTCAATGTTTGTCTTTTTCTTTTTTGGTCTTTTTTAAATTTCACTGCAAGGTATATTTATGGTATGAAGAATTTCATTACTCATAGAATTGTCTTCTTTTTTTTTTAATAATGTCTGGTATTATTTTAGAATTCAAATAATTTTCTATTACAATATATGCATGTTATCAATTAAAGTTGTTTTTCATCCTTTAGCTTCTTTTAAGTATTTGACCTGATAATTTAATCACCAATATAAATTGTTATAATTAGAAATAATCATTATTTCAGTTCATGCTATTAACGGGGGTTGGAGGATTGATATTTCAAATTTGTATATTATTTATAATGGAAACTCTTAATGTATTAAACATTGCAAGGCAGTCTCATTGCCTTCAGTCGTAGTTGTTTGGGAAACAGTTTGAGGTATTTGAATTTTAATCAGATTTACATTATACTTGTTGAGAACACTATAAAAACACACTTTAATCATCTTTTATTCAACTTTTTTAATATCATTATGGTAGTGTTAGAGAGTGCCCTTTTAAACTATAAAGGCTTTTTCACAAAAAATATCTTTTAACTTATAATCTTACTCATTTGACAGATTTCTTTAACTTGAAAATGTTATGTGCATCTGCATATCCAAATGCATCATGCATGACCTTGTGGTTTCAAAAATAAAATGGAGCCAGTAATGTGTTAAGTGTTGTTGATTTGTATAACTTTGCTGGAATATATAGACGATCCTGCATATTTGTTGCAATCTGAAATTTATGTTAACAAGTTTTAAATATTTTGCCTTAGTATAAAGAAAATCAGGGTACCAAAGTGATATGGAAATATATCGACAATTGTCCAAATGCCATGTCAAGTAGCATATTGTAGTCTAATGAGAATGAAAAAAATTTAAAGAAATTAGTTGAAAACTGAACTGAGAGAGTTATGTGTAGTTAAGATGAATTGAAAGTCAAAATCAATTTACCATTTTGACCAAAAATAAAATGATAGAGTGATACATACATTCACAATGTATTTACCGGTAAAATACTGTATGAGTATTGTGCTATACATGTAGTTATATCATCTTACATAATTTTGGAAGAGGTTTACAAAAAATAGCATATTTTCAGATTTAAAAAAAGGGGGGAAAGGGGGGAAAGGGGGGGGGGAAAAAGGAAGAACAGACATCATACCATATACCTGTAGAAAGAAGGAAATATGTGATAAGAAAATGAAATAGGCAATAGTTACATATTTGTACAGTATATGTGTATTTACAGTAAACGGCAATGCAGTGTTCTTCTATAACAGTATTATTTAACATGAAATTACATATATTTACTGGATCTATTACTTTAGTAGTTACTTAAGTAGTTAAGAGAGGAAAAAACAAAAACCGTTCCGATGCCGGGAATTGAACCCGGGCCGTCTGGGTGAAAACCAGAAATCCTAACCACTAGACCACATCGGACTTGATGGAATTGTTATAAATGTTTTGTCAAATTCGCAATAAGTAAGATATCGGTAACTGTAATTATTCAATGAAAACAATCACGAATTTCATTATGCTTTTTGTTTTAAAATATCTTAACTTTTAGTTTTCCATACACCAATATCGATTTAATATTTTGACTGCGCATCACCCATAAAGACAATCACACATTACAGGGGTTACCTCCCCCTGAACTTAGAAACCGCCGACAGATGCTGGATTACCTTGTAAGGAATTATACAGTAGCCGTAGAACAACCTGTCATCCACTAGAAACCGTCTGTCTTGTGAAAGTTTTACTTTATTAGTAAGTATGCCTTATTATTTGATCCTGTTCAGTTTGCAATTTGTTAAGATAATCAACATTAGTTTTGAAGTCATTCAACTTCTGAAAGTTTGTGTCAGTGGGATGGGAGGTCTTCTGAATCACCACATTCCACAGTAGCTCGCTACAGTATCACAACACTAGACTTGTACGAGTCCTATTTCGCAGTTACATTCTCTAGAAATACTTTTTGATGATAGTTAAATTTAACACTGGCAATGACGAATTAACCAAAAGTATTCATAGAAATGGACTAATTCAGTATAAATTAAAATAATTTGTTTAAATGATGTTCGGGATAGTCATTTTATGAGGCAGATTAATATTCTTAATGTTATCAAAGTGGTGAAATATAACGGGAGGGGTGTACTCATGTGTGCTCAAATTATCCAGTGAAATAACGAAACAAAGCCAAAAATACAATTTTAATAAGTACATTTATTGAACAACAGCATGAATATACAGAAAACACACTGACAATACTGCAGCTTAACGTAAACTTACAGGCACGACACATGTACAAGCCCTTTGATCACCTCAGACCTAGGTAAACAATCTAACCTGAGCTGATTCATTCCTACTTAAAACCCACATCTATATATATTCATTAGTGCCAGCCACCCATATCTAGTAATTATAAAAGCAGGCTAGGGGAGAGATTTACATGTAGAAAGATAGAATGTGACAACAGTATACAATTAGATCATAATGGCAAACTTACACTTGTGTGCAAATTAGCATTTCATAAATAATCCAAAAATCACAATATATTGGACATATACCTGTCAAGAATCTCAAACACAAAGAATTTCTGTTCTTACAAGTATGAAGCATACAGAGTGTGTTTCACGAGATCAGACCGACTATCGCAGATACTAGTCAATTCACAGTGCTGTCTTAACCCTCATTCGCATAAATTTTTACAGAGTAATCATCAAGAGGCTATTGCTGAAAAATGAAAAGTTGATAATTTAAATAAAAAGCCACCAATAAATAAGTATGAAAAAATATATACCATGAAAGAAATTATATAGTATACACACACATAAAAGGAAGGTGTCCATGCAATGTCTCTGGCTTGTGTAAAATAAAGGCATACATCTTTATCATTCAGTTTTTGGAGCATGTTTCTTTAATTTTACCCATCTTGGTGCATATATGAAATTCCTGATATTGTACACTACATGTGTTTAAACTTACTGGTAAAAATAACTTCATTACATTATCTATGTATTTAAAATTTCAGTTATCCATATTACCATGGAACTATGGTTTGTTTTGCAAACTCAGAGGCATGCTATCGAGATGGAGATCTCTATCTTGAATTGTACACTTCTGATGAATGTTTTTCTGAGACTACAGCACATTGAACTTATACAGTTACTTTCCTCCATCAGAGAAGTACATCCAAAAACCTACAATTACTGTCCTCCCTTCAGAGGAGCACATGCAAACACCTATATGCACAGTTACTTTTCCCCATCAGAGAAGTACATTTGAACACATACAAGTACTTTTCTCCATCAGAGGAACATATTGAAACATCTATTTGCACACCTTCAGTTACTTCTCCCATCAGAGGAGCACATATACATATTTGAAAATTTTAAATTATTTTCCCAATTGGGAGCATATTCAAGCACCTACAGTTACTTTCCACCATCAGAGGAACATATTGGAACACCTACAGTTTATCACTTTTCCCCATCAGAGTAGCATATTCTAACACCCACAGTTACTTTTTCAAATTATAAAATACAAAAAGCTTGCAAGATTTGAGTATTCATTATCAATTTATTTTATTTGAATAATTTCACCATTGAATTGGAAAAGAAAATTGGAGAATGTTGATTCTATTCTTAGTATTCCATAACCATGATTTCATTCTCAGAGATTAGTCATCAACTCAAATACATGTAGGACCATTCTGCTCTGAGAGCTTTTCTTTATTGCAATGAACATGAGTGTTCTCATCTTTATCATATTTTCCATGCAAAAGTGTCTGATCTATGGTCAGATTTTTATCTTAATTATAAAGGAAAAAGAAGATCAATTTTAAAACAAATTGCTGCTTATATTTTAGACAAAGCTCTGAGAAATTCCACTGTTTTGAAATAGGAATTTGGATGGAGTCAAAATTGATTTCAGATTATAACCATATATTAACATTACCTAAAAATTACTGAATTGATAAATTGTTATATGCTGTATTATGAATGAAATAGGTACTACATGTACATTTCGCTGCAGCAAAAGCTTAAAGGTGACTGATAAACAGACTGTATATATCACTTCTTGCCCTGGGGAGGTGTTTCAACCTCTCTTGATACAAGATGGGTGTGACTGTAAACTGACTAGGCTGTATAAAAGAGACATAAAAACTGCCTACACAAAATACACTATGTAATGTAGAAACAGAACAGGTTTTGTATCCTTTAGGCACTGTAACATTTGATTCAGTCACCTGTCCGGTCATGGTCTGCAGGTGTACATATACATTTGTATACAAGTATACTTATACATACATTTGTATTCAAGTATACATGTGTAGTAGTATCTTAAGGCTGAAGAATCATTGTTATAGCTAATACATTTTTAAGAACCATATGCTAAAAATGATTGTAATTCTAAGAAATGTTTCACTATTTTCATTCACAAATAATTCAGATTTTGTTAAGAGCAAGTCTTTGGTATCATTAAATATTGATTACATCTGGGACAACTATTTTTGAAAATTGAAAACAAGGTGAAACACCATGATGTGGTAGATTTCACATAATAAAATGTTGCATCCTGACCAGTAAAGGAGAGTAAAGTTCTGCTTTAAATACTGAAGAAAATACAGCTGTTTATGTAGAGTTCCTGGATATAACAGGACACCAAAGGCTGTCCATTTGGGAACAAATTTCCTTCTCAAGTACATTTTTATTGCGATCACCTTTTGTCCAGCGGCGTCCTTTGTTAACAATTTACATTTTCAACTTTACCTCAAATTCTACTGGTGACATTGAGGTGAAACTTACCTGAAATGATCGTGATATGGTCCTGACCAAAGTTTGTTAATTTCGGGTTGGTCCGAAATCCAAGATGGCCGCCATGTCCACCATCTTGAAAACACATTTTCAACTTCTTCTCATGTTCTACATGTCTCATTGAGCAAAGTTTGTTAATTTCGGGTTGGTCCGAAATCCAAGATGGCCACCATCTTGAAAACACTCTTTTTTTCACTACATTTGCTATTGTCAGGACACCAACCACTTTCGCGTGGATATACACAACCAGTGTGTTCAAGACTTTTTAGAGTACATGGATGATGGCCGAAGGCCTGCAAGGGGAAAGTAGAAGAAGGGGTCCTCCTCCTCTTGTTGATGGGGTCCGGGGGGCCTCCCCGCAGGAAAATTTAAAAAATGAGGAAGCTTGGAGATGCATTTTAAGACAATTTTTTTATGAAAAATAGTGTCTGTCTTTTTAAAAATTTTAGTCATATTTTTGTGTGTAACCAGTTATAAAATAGGTATCATCTGTGGACAGAAAAAGAAAAGGCAATTTAAGCATACATAAATTAGCCTAAAGGGAAAATTCGCTGTCTTTCTATTAAACCATAGGAATCACCAATTACTTTTATATCTGATGAGCTTATTTGAAAAAATTTCGGAAATAAATGCCGTTGACCGTTTTTTTGTATTAGACTATGTCGTCCAGTAAAGATACAATGTAAACAGGCTACATGTAAAATGCTATATTTTAATAATTGTCAGTCAATGCCACAAGTAGCTCTCAAGAACATTTATGGCCGTAAAAATGCCGTTGACCGTTTTTTTGTATTAGACTATGTCGTCCAGTAAAGATACAATGTAAACAGGCTACATGTAAAATGCTATATTTTAATAATTGTCAGTCAATGCCACAAGTAGCTCTCAAGAACATTTATGGGCATCATTTGATACGTTTTTCATTCACAATTACTTAGATTTTTATTACAGAAGATCTTTATTCTAGCATTAGCCGGTCAGGGTGAACAACGATGATGTGATGATCATCGGAGAATGAACAATTAAATGTGATATTGATATACTAGTCTGCTTTATTAAATGCTAGGGGAATACAACAAAATATGTAAAATGCAATTATTTTTAACATCATTATAGGCATACCTTTTGGCCGCTTTAACCCTTGGCCAAAATAGTCTTCAATAGACCGCTTCATGGTTTATATTCCGTGTTCTCCGTCAGGCAAGCGTTTGCTATAGCTAGGCCTACCATGCTCATGTTTTGTAAGAAAAGCTTATCTTTAACAAAGATCAAGTTCGGACATGTCTGCAGCTGGATGAGGCAGACGCTCACACTTTTGATTTGAATAAACTTACGTTCTCGAAGGTTAATGATGATAAACAATGAAAACATTTTAAATCAGGTAGGAGGATTTTTTTCATTATCTCTGAAATTAAAATAGCCAGCGCCGACATCAAAATAGACAATCAGATTCGCTGGCTGCCGGCTTCTATTGAATACACTGCACAACCACATGTTCGAAATAATACACTAGTTATAGTTAATGTTATTCTAAGTATATCTTTGGACATAACATAATAAGGACATGAAATGATACTTTCAGGTGCCAATGTTTTCAAAATGTTGTAAATTTAAATTAATGTACATTTCTGAAAAGTAAATGCATTCATTGGTCTTTTCGATCTTAATCCATTCACCTTGTCTTATATCATTGAACAAAACACCTCCTCTTGACTATGAACACCAAAAAAATGGCATGATGAGACTTAATATGGAAATTGTGATTTAAATATTTCATAAAATTACAAATCGTTTTGGTAGTTATATCCTTGCTTGAAGAACTTTAAATTGAAGTAATTAATGTTTCATTTAGCAAACAAGATTTCGAGATAAATTTAAAAGGAGTAGACATATTAAATATTTTATGACACCAAAAGACTTGCTATTAAATAAAATATGTATTTAGTTACACAAACAAATATCCGTTATAATAATCCACCAAAACATTTACATTGACTTGTTTCATTTTAAATGCAGTATATAATGACTAATACCTCATCCTATATATAATAAACACTGTTTGTATATTCAGTATACTCAACATTACACCTACATGTGTACACAAATACACAGTTGCTCCTTCATACACCTACATATTTTGTACCGGAAATATTTGTGGTTTAAAGCTTAAGTGCATTAGTTCTTTTTAATATAAAAGGAATGCACATTCTGATATCTTATATACTTCTCATGCAAGATTTTGAAAATGCATGCAGTATGTACAATATAGTGTATAGAGGCATCTAAAGGTTTTCATACCTTACATTCATCTACACTGTATATGCTCACACATTGGCTTAGCACAAATTTTCGATATATCCCTCCCGAAACTTTATACAAATTAATTAAAGATGATCATGATCTGTTCGCATATTTACCTGTATTTGGATATTTCAAGACAAGCGTTCTTTTATTGTTTGAACATGTAGCTGTGGAAGTATTCAAATTCAAAATGAATCACATCCTACAGACATTATTTAATTGTCTGCTGAATTTTATTGTTTATAAAACTATAATTTCTGTTTAAACTTAAATAAAATTGAAAAACGAAATTAAGTTTTGAATAAAAAAAGCCTTCAACAAAAATTGCACCAGATATGATAATGTGTTGTATTTAGATTAAAAGCGTTTTTTTTCTTTTTTTTTCTTGAATTTATTAGTATAAAAGTATTCATCATATTTTTTAAAATTTTAGGAAAGCATTACAGTCATCACTCTAGATGTAATTGTTATCATGGTATTGTTACTTCACTCTGGTTGATGCCTTTGACAGGAAAATGGATAGCTTGGTTGTGGTGCTGTTGTTGATTGGGACTGGTTACTGTCAAAACAATGGTGACCTGGCTACCATCATGGAATGGGAGGCAAGCCAAATGCCTGACCCTTACACCAATCCTAAGGCCTGTGGTCGCTACGAAAATAAGCCTGCCTATGTCTGTGATCCTAACAACATACTCCCAGCAAAAGGAGGTACAACACGGTTACAAATCATTCAATAGCTTATAGTGATATATCTAATTACAATAATTAGAAACCACCATATTAATATTAACAGTTAAAAGTGAAGAATATATTTGGAGGACCTTTAAGTTTTGTTGTAACGTTAATATTAACAGTTAAAAGTGATGAATATATTTGGAGGACCTTTAAGTTTTGTTGTAATGTTAATATTAACAGTTAAAAGTGATGAATATATTTGGAGGACCTTTAAGTTTTTTTGTAATGTTAATATTAACAGTTAAAAGTGATGAATATATTTGGAGGACCTTTAAGTTTTGTTGTAATGTTAATATTAACAGTTAAAAGTGAAGAATATATTTGGAGTTTTGTTGTAATGATAATATTAACAGTTAAAAGTGAAGAATATATTTGGAGGACCTTTAAGTTTTGTTGTAATGTTCATCATTTACAGTCATATGTATCAGTAACTTTATTCCATTCAGGTTCAAAGGTGAAAGGTCACTGTAGCTATAAGTTAAAATCAGTATCTGTGTGATAACTTGAGTTTGCTTTGCCCAATCTAAATCAAACTTCATACAAAGCTTCCTTACCACAAGTGCTTGCTTTGGATATTGTGTTTTATATCCCAAGTTCTAAGTCAATGTTATTATAGATCAAAAAATCAGATTGTGGGATGTATTCATAAGTGTGGGGTTTCTTTCGTTAAAGTCTTTCTTGACTTTTATTGCAAGGATTGAGGTCTTGCCAGTAATCTGTCAGTCTGGTGGGTAGGTGTGTCTTAGTGTGGGTTGTTGGGTTGGGGGAGGCAGGAATTCAAGCCACATAACGAGACCTTTGCTGACCTGTCAGTGTTATAGTTAGTCTCTAGGTTTTAATGTAAACAGATTCAATGTACTCACTATACTTTTATAATTATAGCATCTTGGCATTAACATTATGCATGTGTTATGATGAACATTATGAAATTTATCATCAATGACTTTAAAAGGATGATGATGATGATGATGATGATGATGATGATGATGATGATGATGATGATGATGATGATTTCATTATCTCCTCTGTACAGCTGATATCCTTGACTGGTTAGCGGAGGGAACCTACTTAAATGACACAACATGTCCGTGTTCCGACTGGCGATGTGAAGCCAATGATGCGGGACCTTATGGTACAATAATCAATGTTGCGGTGGTCAAGAAGATCAAGCGGCCTGAAGGGTATGTGGATTACACAATCTTTTTACAGAAATTTTTATGCTGTCTGTCTGTTGTAACAGGTAAGACTTTAATATTGAACATATATGTTCCTTATTACAAGATCTCAGGTCTAGAAAAAATATTTTCAGCTACTAGTCTGTCGGGCAAGTCAAACTTGAAATTCACTTGCATGAATACAATATTCGCTCACCCAAAGAAAAAAGGCAACAAAACATAATTTAAGGAACACAAATTTTATTATCAATTTCTATATCAAATGTTTGAACTCAACACTTGCTTTTATTGTTTTACTCATGAGTTTACTTAAATCCAGTAAGCTCATGTTATCTGCACTTCCAGTCTGTCGCATATTTAACTTGTTACAGTCTTATTTTCACTACAAACTGTCAATAGACATTCATTACTTTTATTAACTAGTTCAATCAATACTCTGGTGGAACAATCAGTTTATCAACACCTGGGCTGATTAATCAGTTCAATCATCACTTGAAGGACAGTCATCACTTGAAGGACCTGGCACTTCATCAATATCAATGGGATCTTAAGAACTTCCCGCTACACTAACAACTGGTTCATCTACTCTTTTGATGACACTCTCTTGGTGAGACACAACATGTCTTGTTGCTGAGCCATTTATCAATGCATGGATCTGGGTTGAAATCTTTCACGGACTGATCCATGTTTGTTACTGTCATTAAGTCATTGAAATGATCTTGTGAGAGCTATGATCTCAGCCTGGATTTTATGTTCTTCATGCTAGAAAAACTTCTTTCACATTTGGCAGTGGAAGGTGAAAAGGCAAACATGATATTTACAAGAAGAAGCACATTAGTGATTTCACTAGGCTGAGATTCAAGGAGTTCAGAATACACTTCTACAGGCCTGTATGACTTCATTTTTGAGACTTTCAATTTCAAACCCATCCACTCCCCTGGGATCTTAATTCTCTCCTCTGTCAGACAGAATGAGAAATACTCCACTAAGTCCTGAATTTCTGAGTCACTCAAAGTTGGGGTAGTAATAATAGAACTTAAAAATGTGTTGAACAGTGTCTTGAAATTGTGAGATATACTTCACTGTTTTTGTAGCATCCAATACTCCAAGCTCTAAGTTGGGGGCCACACAATGAATAGCTACAAGGGGATGATCAACAAATTCTTTAAGTTTTACTTCAACTCCTCCTTTTTCACCTAACATCACAGATGCCCCATCAACGTTACAACCAATCAACTTCTCTTTCAATTTCTCTTCAGTCATGCCAAGTGCTGTCAAAATACCATTGAACACACCTTCAGCTGTAGCAGATTTCAGAGACACTATGTCAATGAAAGCAGTCTCAGGATTACCTTTCTCATTAACAAATCTCAAAAATACAGTCTCTTGTTCAGTCACTGAGGAGTCTGTGGAACCATCCGCCAAAACTGACAAAAAACCTAGCATTTCTAACTTTCTCTTTCACTACATCTTTCTCTACTCCAGCAATAGCAGACATGAAATCTTTGGCACCTTTATCATTTCTATACTTTTGCCCTACATCAACTCCTACCTTTTCTAGTAAATCTGTCAACCCACTTAATTTTGTGAATGATAAATTTTCTTTGGCCAAATAAAAATATGTATTGAACAAACTATGCAATCTGTTTCTTGACGTCTAGTCCAGTTTTGGTCAGTTTTGAAAATAATGTCGCTAAGGGGGCAGAACTTTCCTTATATTTCTCTTTGTCCAATATGAAACGGTCTTCACAAAATTTATGTCTGTCAGATTTTTGATGTTAATGAAGCGTATCCTCCCTAAACTTACCACCAGACCCGGTCCTTATGAACAATTTTGAAGTTTTGTCAGCAAGGTTTGGATATTTCCTACAGTAGCTACAAAACATGACATCGTTTTCAGCATCATGAACAACCCAAGGATAAGTTTTCACCCATGATGCCTGAAATTTCCTAACACGCTTTTCTTTGTACTCAGCTTTCCGTTTTTTACTTGGATTTGTTTCAGAACTACTTGAATCTGATTGAGTTGTGTTTGCCTTGTCACCTTTCGCTGATTTGGGGGAAAAAAAGCTTTTCAAGTTGGCCTGTTTTGACGTATTTAATTCACTGTTAATGCGAGCGAGAACATCAACTTTTTGACTGTAAATATGTATCCAAAAACAACTTTGTTTACAACATTTGTGGTGACGTAATAGGTTTTCGCGTAGTCTGGATCAGCCCGAGTCTTGACACGTGGTGGAAACAAGGATACTACATCGATGTGTTTGATCGGCTATCAGTGGATTTAAATTAGTTTTAAGAGAGTTTAAGTTGATAAACGTGATTTATTATGGAATATTCAATAGTCAGAACTACAAATTTCACTCGCCCGCAGGACAAGTAGCTGAAACAAATCACTCGCCAGCAAGTAGCTCTGACTCGTCTAGACGAGCGGATGAGTGGATTTCTCTAAACCTGGATCTTTCTAGTGGTCCAAATAGTTTTGACCATGTGACCTTTGACCTTTAACCTACATTAGAAAAACTTCAACATTACCATTACTATTGCACAATGAAGACAGAAGTGTTTCACAAAGTGTGCATGCAATAAGCCTTACACAGAACAGTTTTAATGTCCCACTTCAGAATTTTGTTGCCAACCAGGGCCATAGTAAATCTGAAAACAATTCATGGAAGTATAATCCAATAAGTTTTATTTCTTTTTCCTAATTTTTATGACAATTTATCCATTAATTTGGGAAGTATTTATTTTTCAATGTGTGATATATATATACAGACAGGATCCCACAGCAGAAAACTTACTGAATGCTGCTCGTCAGTTTACCTACACACTGACCAATGAACGCTGGAACAAGGGTGTCTGTAACAACAATGTCGTCATCATGTACTCAGCCCAAGATGAAACAGTCAGTATTTGCATACAGACTTCTCATTCATATAAAAATCTGTAGATACTATATAAGTCATGTGTATTCCTAATTTTGCTAGGATAATCTGGACAGTCAGTATATGGTGTACATATAATGTATACCTAGCTAGGATGATCTGGACGGTCAGTATATGGTGTACCTATAATGTATACCTAGCTAGGATGATCTGGACGGTCAGTATATGGTGTACTTATAATGTATACCTAGCTAGGATGATCTGGACGGTCAGTATATGGTGTACATATAATGTATACCTAGCTAGGATGATCTGGACGGTCAGTATATGGTGTACCTATAATGTATACCTAGCTAGGATGATCTGGACGGTCAGTATATGGTGTACCTATAATGTATACCTAGCTAGGATGATCTGGACGGTCAGTATATGGTGTACCTATAATGTATACCTAGCTAGGATGATCTGGACGGTCAGTATATGGTGTACCTATAATGTATACCTAGCTAGGATGATCTGGACGGTCAGTATATGGTGTACCTATAATGTATACCTAGCTAGGATGATCTGGACGGTCAGTATATGGTGTACATATAATGTATACCTAGCTAGGATGATCTGGACGGTCAGTATATGGTGTACCTATAATGTATACCTAGCTAGGATGATCTGGACGGTCAGTATATGGTGTACCTATAATGTATACCTAGCTAGGATGATCTGGACGGTCAGTATATGGTGTACCTATAATGTATACCTAGCTAGGATGATCTGGACGGTCAGTATATGGTGTACCTATAATGTATACCTAGCTAGGATGATCTGGACGGTCAGTATATGGTGTACCTATAATGTATACCTAGCTAGGATGATCTGGACGGTCAGTATATGGTGTACATATAATGTATACCTAGCTAGGATGATCTGGACGGTCAGTATATGGTGTACCTATAATGTATACCTAGCTAGGATGATCTGGACGGTCAGTATATGGTGTACCTATAATGTATACCTAGCTAGGATAATCTGGACGGTCAGTATATGATGTACCTATAATGTATACCTAGCTAGGGTAATCTGGACGGTCAGTATATGGTGTACCTATAATGTATACCTAGCTAGGATAATCTGGACAGTCAGTATATGGTGTACCTATAATGTATATCCAGTTTACCCAGGAACACATTCTGATAGAATGATGAATAATTACTCGCACAAACATAACAATCTACACTTGAATCGCTAATACTTCACCTATCAGTGTTCTCCAGGGTCTATTTTCACTTCAATTCAAAAAGATGTTTTTAGAATCAGTTAAATTTTAATGAAGAGGAACATAATTTCATTTATGCTGTTTATGCACATAATCAAGTAAATGACATTTTTTGAAAATTAAAAAAATTCAAATGACATGAAAATTACAACATTTGTTCGTAAAACAGGAAAGATCTAATTGCAGGCTGGTTTTTTATGTATGTTTTCAGCTTTTCACCATGGCAGGAAAAACATCAGCATTAAAACTAGATAACGATGTTATTACTGAGATCACCAATCACCACATGCGCCACTTTAAAAATGGGCGTGACCTAACAGCTGGACTATACAGTCTTCTGGTGGACTACAGGTAAGTCAGGTCACAGGTATGGAGAATTACAAGAGCAAAAGATTGACTCTACCTATGGTACTCTAAAAACATAATCCTAGCTAAGTTCAGGTAGTTGTTATGCAGGTTAATCGATGTTACATAATTAAATAATCTGAAAAATTGACTCCATTTTGTTTTAATGATTTAAACCAGTTAAAACAAATCTGTTGATTTCAGCAATTTAGAGAATGTTCCATAGGCAAGCTTAATGAAACATAATATTTATGAATTGGTCCCATTCTGGTTCATACATACTGGGAAATCTTTGAATAGAGAGGTTTTTCATAGCCCCACATTCATTAATTCTGAAAGGTGGGGTAATTTTAAGATTGACATAAAACTAACAGGGCAATATTTTTGATAAATTTCTTTTGAAATTTCATATGAATCTGTCGTCTGTGATATCTTACACATGAAATTCTTTGTTAGCAGAAAATTTCAGAATGAGACACATTTTCAAATTCTGGGAATTTTTTGTATAAATTGCTTGACAGGAAATTTGTCAATAAAAAACTAAAATCAGTAAATTAAACAGCAGAGTTTAATTTTGGCAGTCATTAGTCAACGTTAAAAGGACAAAATGATGTGAAAAGCTTGTGTAAATGATATTTCATGAAGTTTCAGACCATAACGCAGACGACCAAGTTCTACTCCTGATCAGATGTGGGTAGACATAAGACATAGTTCAAGGTCAAAGTAACCACTATTGATATAAAGAGCTTATGTGAAAGACATTTCATGACATCCTAGACCAAAGCATCACACCACCAAGTTCTACACCTGATTCAATGAAGGAATTTAGTTCAATGTTTTAGAGTTTTTGATCAAAATATTAATTTTATAGAGCATCTATGACAGTTACTGATGTCCATGTGAGTAATTTTCTTTCATTTGATGACTTCAGGAATGTATTACGAGGAGAGTACCAGTCCTGGAGAGACTTTGACAAAGCACAGCATCCTATTGGAGGAGGAAGTGTTCCTGTTGCTTCCTTCGCTACATTCCTCTCTCTCGTATTTGCACTCATCCTCTCATTCAGGTTTTAAGTAGAAACACTTAACACAATATAATAATGATAAAACAAGTTACTACATACTAAAGTACATTCTGTTGTATTACTGATAAGTTTAGGAGTTCATTTCACAATGTTAAAGTGTTAAAGTAAAAATATTACGAGGAACAGCATTTTACAGTCAATGACTCATGTAAATAATTCCATCACATGAAACACAAATTTTTTGTAGTGAAAAGCTAAGACAGGTCCAACTTTTAAGGTATAGCTTACAAAGTATTTAGCTATAGACAGTCAGTATTTCCAACAACAAAACTCTGCCATTTAGACAGGGTTTACGAATTGTGTTGAGTAACTTATATCTATTTGGGTTAACATTATTCTTCATATATTGGTGAAAAATAATTTAATTTGTTTATATACTGAAAGGAATAAGAAACGCAATTAGGAATTTCCAGGTCAACTACGGGAAATAGAAAAGGGTTTTAGAATGTAATCATGGTATAACTGGAAGATAGTTGACCACTGTCATATACAAGAATTTCATTCGTGTACGTTAAGTAAACCTTTCAAATTTGACGTTAATTCAAGAGCACCCCACTCAAAAGTGTGTTCTGGATCCATCAGTATCGTGTGTGCCCACCAAGAGCTGCAGTAACTGCACAAACTCTTTTGTGCATTTAATTGATCAGGGTATTAACCCTCCTCATTGGTATACTATTCCATTCCTCATCCAGCGCCAACACCAACTGAGCTACGTTAATTAGAGGATTCAGCCTACCTCTTATCCTTCTGTCCAACTTATCCCATAAATGTTGTATTGGGGAGAGGTCAGGGCTGAATGGGGGCCAGTCTAGGGTGGGGACATTGTTTGCTGCGAGATAACCACGGCAAACCCTCGCTACATGCGACCGGGCGTTGTCCTGCTGAAACGTCAGTTGACGCTGCTGTACTAGAGGAACAACATGCGGCGCTAAGACTTGATCTCTACAGCGGACGACCGTGAGATTTCCCTGAATAACGACCAGAGGAGTCTTTACACCATGCTAATCCCTCCCCATACCATGACCGATCCTCCTCCAAAGCGGTCATTCTCTATCACACAAGCATCTGCATAGCGCTCGTGTGTACATCTATAGACACGACGTCAGCTGTCTGCCTGGTAAAGCAAAAACCTGGACTCATCTGAGAACAGGACCCATCTCCAACGTTGCATTGGGAAGCGTCTTACAGAATGTGCGTTCATCCATTTCATTTGTCTGGCACGTAGCAGCACATTAAGCTGTGGTCCAACATATGGACGCCGCGGTCTTAGACCGAAGGCACGCAGTCAAGTACGCACTGTCTTTGGATCAATTGGAACATGATGACGCACAATTGTATTCCTTGCTGTTTCCGTGGCCGTCAGAAAGCTATTGCGTAGGTGGAAAAGTCTTATTGCCCTATCCTGCCGTCATCGTCACACGAGGGCGACTGCTTCGGGGACGGTCTGCAACTCTTCCAGTGGCATGTAGTCTTTGGATGAACTGCAAATGTTTGATGGATGGACCCAAATTGATTAGCGTCCTGATTTTGCGGGGTACCTTGCATAAGAAGTGCAATGGCATGACCCCTGTCAACTTCGGACAGTCGTGGCATTTTTTACGGTGAACTGTTTATGCTTAAAATGTGGGAAATCGAGACGGATATGTCTGAAGATTTGCGCACACAGATTTTGAACCAATTCTTTACACTGGGTTCAAGATATCATGCCTTTGTCTCTTATTCTTTAGTACAAGCGGCGTGCGCAGTTTAGTTATGCATCAGTGATTTTGATACAGTACCATAGGGACCTAACTCAAATGCACACATTTATCAAGTTTCAAGGGTGTATGTCCGGATTTAATTTACGATATCAACTTTCTGCTAATTGCGTATCTTTTTCCACTCAATATAGTTGAAAGTAGCAATAATAACATAGTAATCATTAATAACATATCATTATGGTAGTCCCACCAACGAAATATTTGGATATTTTGATTCCAAAACTGTATTGATGTCCTTCATTATTAGTATATAGTTCCCATCAGCCAAATAAGAATATACAATGTAGATATAGCAAACCTCCAGATTTATTTTCCTGTCACAGACTATCAGAGTGGGTTTTAGGTGTTGAAATAGAAAAAAGAAAATCGGTTGGCTCTAGGCAGAAAGTGATAAAATCTCTAAAAAAATATCTATTTTCAGTTAAATTTTATTTTATAGAACATTTAGATATTATATAGCTTTATATGATTATAATATTTATTATCACTAATATATTATTGTGTTTTGTGTGTTATGTACATATTTACACAGGATAGTGTATGTACTGTGTGACGTGAACGAAAAATTAAGAAACGTGTCATCACAAATGCTAATTTCAACAATGGAAGATAGGGTTTTTATGCTCCCTGAAGGAGGAGCATATAGTACCCGCTTTGTCTGTCCGTCCGTTTGTCCACCATAATTTTTATCTGGAGCATAACACAAAAACTATAGGAGATATCAACATAAAACTTCATAGGTAGATAAATCAAAGTGCATTGTACAAGAACCATACCTCTCTTTTGCATAATTGAGGAGTTGTTGCCCTTAGTTATTTTCCATATTGAAATTTTGTCCAGAGCATAGCCCAAAAACATTTAGATTCATATGTAGATAGATCTTGAATAGGAGAAAAGACTTGTATGAAAACCATAACTCTCTTTGCATTATTTAGGAATTCTTGCCCTTTGCTATATTTCTTTCTTAAATTTTGTCCCCTTTTGGAAGCATAACCCCTACGTCCCTTGTTTTGAAAATTTTGTGGTCTTTGTTGTAAAACTGTTAATAAACACCCACAAACAACATCTCAATACAAGATGACTGTATGAGGGTCATCTAGAGACGTCAGTCCTTCAAAGTTGATATCTCTTTTTTTTCACCGCCTTTTAATTCTACCTATCAAGTCCCATCTGCATCTTCATATCTACTTCATTCTATTGAAAATGGTCCATAAATATCAGGTAGTAGGATCTTCCTTGCATTTTTAAGTCTTCTATGTACATAATGCTTACTGATTCAGGATCTTTCTTTTCTTGTTAGATTTGACTTTCCCTCCGACAGACATCTTAAGTTTCATGTTTGTTTTATGATAAATGTCAATTAGGAACATAACAGAAATGATGTATATATTTTTGCTGATAATTGTTTTTGACTGGATACTTAATGGTACATAATTATCAATAATGATAAAAAAATATCTAAATACTCAAAATTTTATATAGATTACACAAAGTTGTATAGATTTCACATTTGTAATTTTATTTTAGGAAGATGGTCAGTATTTTGCGTGGAACTACAGGGTTTCCTGTCAATTTTTTTAAACATTTGCATGACCACATGGGATGAGAGTTGTTTTTATATTTATAAATTTGACTGATATAAATGTATCTTGCATATGTAATTTTGATGTGCCACATTGTAGATGTTTTCTACCATATATAAGTAAGTGCCTTATTCTGTATTTGTGCTTGATAATGCATCATAATAGCTTTTTTTGTTATTTCATTATTTTATTTTGATTTTTTTTTTGGTTCAGTGTACATGCGATCAGACTTACCAATTTATTATTTTGATATGTCAGAGATCTGAACACCTTCATAACACATGTTTTTTCTTCTTTTGTTTTGACTTTCGGATGTTTATTGATTCAAAACATCCACAATTTGATTTTGAATTATATTTCTGCAAAGGGAGATAATTTCAAGATTTGATTACTTGGTACAAGAATATTGCTTCTACATTAATGACAATTGGGAATCACACCCAGCAAAAACGTTGATACTACTTTCTTGAAATCTACTTTCATTAATGGTTTCAGATATAATGAAGTCAGTAGCTTTCTGATTTAATTCCATTATGAAGCAAAAGTACAAAAGGGAATGAAATGCAGTGTTAATTGTTAAATTTGTGAGGAGTTATTTTGTGTTCAAAGTCTATGATTTAAGTTTAGTTTATTATATAAGATATTTGATAGTTTTATTCTTTGTAATAGGTTGAAATATTTAAAGCTTTAAGATGTAAAATGTTTGCCACTATTTAATTCTGAAAATAACATCATTCTTTACATTTTATATGAATGTATTAAAAAAAAAAAAAAAAAGAAATTTTTCTGACATTTGATATGAACAGAAATTGATATCTTGGAGGTATTTTTTAACAAAATCTCAATGTCTATACCATTTTTGATTTGTGGTAGATGAATGCTGTCTATGCATGCCACTGTCACCCACTACACCATATATTTCACAAACAATATAATTATAATAGTCACTGCCCCATTACACCACAATGTCACTCTCCCACTACACCAACCTTGAACAATACTTGGGACAATGTCACTCACCCACTACCCCACAATGTTACTCTCCCAATACACCACAATGTCACTCTCCCACTACACGACACCACAATGTCACTCACCCACTACACCACAATGTCACTCACCCTCTTCACTAATCTTGAACAATACTTGGGACAATGTCACTATCCCACTACACCACAATGTCACTCATCCATTACACCACAATGTCACTCACCCACTACCCGACAATTATACTCTCCCAATAAACCACAATGTCACTCACCCACTACACCACAATGTCACTCTCCCACTACACCACAATGTCACTCACCCACTACACCACAATGTCACTCACCCACTACACCACAATGTCACTCACCCACTACACCACAATGTCACTCTCCCACTATACCACAATGTCACTCACCCACTACACCACAATGTCACTCACCCACTACACCACAATGTCACTCACCCACTACACCAACCTTGAACAATACTTGGGACAATGTCACTCTCCCACTACACCACAATGTCACTCTCCCACTACACCACAATGTCACTCTCCCACTACACCAACCTTGAACAATACTTGGGACAATGTCACTCTCCCACTACACCACAATGTCACTCTCCCACTACACCACAATTTCACTCACCCACTACACCACAATGTCACTCTCCCACTACACCACAATGTCACTCTCCCACTACACCACAATGTCACTCTCCCACTACACCACAATGTCATTCACCCACTACACCACAATGTCACTCACCCACTACACCACAATGTCACTCACCCACTACACCACAATGTCACTCTCCCACTACACCAGCCTGGAACAATACTTGGGACAATGTCACTACCCCACTACACCACAATGTCACTCACCCACTACACCACAATGTCACTCTCCCCCACTACACCACAATGTCACTCTCCCACTACGCCACAATATGTCACTCACCCACTACACCACAATGTCACTCACCCACTACACCACAATGTCACTCTCCCACTACACCAATGTCACTCACAATGTCACTCTCCCACTACACCACAATGTCACTCTCCCACTACACCACAATGTCACTCTCCCACTACACCACAATGTCACTCTCCCACTACACCACAATGTCACTCACCCACTACACCACAATGTCACTCACCCACTACACCACAATGTCACTCTCCCACTACACCACAATGTCACTCACCCACTACACCACAATGTCACTCTCCCACTACACCACAATGTCACTCACCCACTACACCACAATGTCACTCACCCACTACACCACAATGTCACTCTCCCACTACACCACAATGTCACTCTCCCACTACACCAACCTTGAACAATACTTGGGACAATGTCACTCTCCCACTACACTACACCACAATGTCACTCACCCACTACACCACAATGTCACTCACCCACTACACCACAATGTCACTCTCCCACTACACCAACCTTGAACAATACATGGGACAATGTCACTCCCCCACTACACCACAATGTCACTCTCCCACTACACTACACCACAATGTCACTCTCCCACTAAACCAACCTTGAACAATACATGGGACAATGTCACTCCCCCACTACACCACAATGTCACTCTCCCACTACACCACAATGTCACTCACCCACTACACCACAATGTCACTCACCCACTACACCACAATGTCACTCAACCACTACACCACAATGTCACTCTCCCACTACACCAACCTTGAACAATACTTGGGACAATGTCACTCTCCCACTTCACCACAATGTCACTCTCCCACTACACCACAATGTCACTCACCCACTACACCACAATGTCACTCACCCACTACACCAACCTTGAACAATACTTAGGACAATGTCACTCCCCCACTACACCACAATGTCACTCTCCCACTACACCACAATGTCACTCTCCCACTACACCACAATGTCACTCTCCCACTACACCACAATGTCACACTCCCACTACACCACAATGTCACTCTCCCACTACACCAACCTAGTCTCCCACTACACCACAATGTCACTCTCCCACTACACCAACCTTGAACAATACTTGGGACAATGTCACTCTCCCACTACACCACAATGTCACTCTCCCACTACACCACAATGTCACTCTCCCACTACACCACAATGTCACTCACCCACTACACCACAATGTCACTCTCCCACTACACCACCATGGCACTCTTCCACTACACCAACCTAGAACAATACTTGAGACAATGTCAATCACCCACTTCACACCAATGTCACTCTCCCACTACACCACAATGTCACTCACCCACTACACCACAATGTCACTCACCCACTACACCACAATGTCACTCACCCACTACACCACAATGTCACTCTCCCACTACACCACAATGTCACTCTCCCACTACACCAACCTTGAACAATACAGGACAATGTCACTCTCCCACTACACCACAATGTCACTACCCCACTACACCACAATGTCACTCTCCCACTACACCAGCCTGGAACAATACTTGGGACAATGTCACTCTCCCACTACACCAATGTCACTCTCCCACTACACCACAATGTCACTCACCCACTACACCACAATGTCACTCACCCACTACACCACAATGTCACTCTCCCACTACACCACAATGTCACTCACCCACTACACCACAATGTCACTCACCCACTACACCACAATGTCACTCACCCACTACACCACAATGTCACTCACCCACTACACCACAATGTCACTCTCCCACTACACCACTACACCACAATGTCACTACCCCACTACACCACAATGTCACTCTCCCACTACACCACAATGTCACTCTCCCACTACACCAACCTAGAACAATACTTGGGACAATGTCACTCTCCCACTACACCACAATGTCACTCACCCACTACACCACAATGTCACTCTTCCACTACACCAACCTAGAACAATACTTGGGACAATGTCACTCACCCACTACACACCAATGTCACTCACCCAACACACCACAATGTCACTCATCCACTACACCACAATGTCACTCTCCCACTACACCACAATGTCACTCTCCCACTACACCAACCTTGAACAATACTTGGGACAATGTCACTCTCCCACTACACCACAATGTCACTCATCCACTACACCACAATGTCACTCACCCACTACACCAACCTACACAATGTCACTCTCCCACTACACCACAATGTCACTCTCCCACTACACCACAATGTCACTCTCCCACTACACCACAATGTCACTCTCCCACTACACCACAATGTCACTCTCCCACTACACCACAATGTCACTCTCCCACTACACCACAATGTCACTCTCCCACTACACCACAATGTCACTCACCCACTACACCACAATGTCACTCTCCCACTACACCACAATGTCACTCTCCCACTACACCAACCTTGAACAATACTTGGGACAATGTCACTCTCCCACTACATCACAATGTCACTCACCCACTACACCACAATGTCACTCTCCCACTACACCACAATGTCACTCTCCCACTACACCACAATGTCACTCACCCACTACACCACAATGTCACTCACTCACTACACCACAATGTCACTCACCCACTACACCACAATGTCACTCTCCCACTACACCACAATGTCACTCACCCACTACACCACAATGTCACTCACCCACTACACCACAATGTCACTCTCCCACTACACCACAATGTCACTCTCCCACTACACCACAATGTCACTCAACCACTACACCACAATGTCACTCACCCTCTACACTAATCTTGAACAATACTTGGGACAATGTCACTACCCCACTACACCACAATGTCACTCACCCACTACACCAGAATGACACTCACCCACTACACCACAATGTCACTCACCCACTACACCACAATGTCACTATCCCACTACACCACAATATCACTCTCTCACTACACCAACCTTGAACAATACTTGGGACAATGTCACTCTCCCACTACACGACACCACAATGTCACTCAACCACTACACCACAATGTCACTCACCCTCTACACCACAATATCACTCACCCACTACACATCAATGTCACTCACCCACTACACCACAATGTCACTCTCCCACTCCACCACAATGTCACTCTCCCACTACACCACAATGTCACTCAACCACTACACCATAATGTCACTCACCCACTACACCAAAATCCACTAATGTCACTCTCCCACTACACCAACCTTAAACAATACTTGGGACAGTGTCACTCTCCCACTAGACTACACCAAAATCGCACTCACCCACTACACCACAATGTCTCTCTCCCACTACACCACAATGTCACTCTCCCACTACACCACAATGTCACTCTCCCACTACTCCACAATGTCACTCTCCCACTACACCACAATGTCACTCTCCCACTACACCACAATGTCACTTCCCAATACACCACAATGTCTCCCACTACACCACAATGTCACTCTCCCACTACACTACACTACACCACAATGTCGCTCACCCACTACACCAACCTTGAACAATATTTGGGACAATGTCACTCCCCCACTACACCACAATGTCACTCTCCCACTACACCACAATGTCACTCTCCCACTACACCACAATGTCACTCTCCCACTACACCACAATGTCACTCTCCCACTACACCACAATGTCACTCTCCCACTACACCACAATGTCACTCTCCCACTACACCACAATGTCACTCTCCCACTACGCCACAATATTACTCACTCACTACACTGCAATGTCATTCACCCACTCACCCACTACACCACAATGTCACTCTCCCACTACACCACAATGTCACTCTCCCACTACACCACAATTTCATTCACCCACTACACCACAATATCACTCACCCACTACACACCAATATCACTCATCCATTACACCACAATGTCACTCTCCCACTACACCACAATGT